GATGCTAGAGACAAGCCTATTATAACATTGCTTGAGAGGATCAGGTATTACATCATGTTGTTGATGGCAACTAGACGAGAAACTATGGCGAAATGGCATCATGATGTGGGGCCAAGAGTGTTTGCAACTCTGGAGAAGCTTAAGAAGCAGTCAGCCTGGTGCATTCCAAGGCTTGCTGGGGAGAGCAAATATGAGGTCAAGTGTTTTGGAGGCACTCAGGTGGTTGTTGATTTGAGGAACAGAAGTTGTTCATGTAGGCAATGGGATCTAACTGGGATCCCATGTAAGCATGCTTGTGCTGCCATTGGGCAGTTAAATGGCAATCACATTAGCTATGTCCATGATTATTACAAAAAAGAGGCCTTCATGAAAGCCTACAAACCCATGGTTCATCCAATGCCAAGCCAAGACTTGTGGCCTAAAACAAATTTCCCACCTTTGCTGCCACCTAAATTTCATAAGCAGCCAGGGAGGCCAAAGAAATCTAGGATAAGCTTAGCCGGTGAACCATCTTCAAGCTCTAATCCTAAAGCTAAACACTTGCCAAGGTATAATTTGGAAATCAAATGTTCCATATGTAAGCAAGCAGGGCATAATAAGAGGAAATGTCCAAGGGTAAATGAAGCAGGGAGTAGCAGCCAGGTATATTCAACAGCATGTGATTTTAAAAGTTTTGTATGTTTGGCATTCTGATATGGATTTCCCAGTGATGTTTGTTTGCCAGGTACCATCACAAAGGCAAAAGAAGATAGCACATCAAGGCAAGAGATCAAGTCAAAGAGTTACAAGACAATCAAGGCAGAAACAACCAGTAAGTTGGGATACTTTTATTCAATTAACATTATGGAACTCTTCATTTGTACATATTAATCCAAAAGCAGCCATGTTAATCTAACTCTGTTATGTTTTCAGTTCATATCAAAAGCTAAAAAAAGGACCAATCATGACCAAGCTCCTCAACCATCTCACCAACCAGCTCAACCATCTCAACCATCTCAGTCTAACCAAGCTCAACAACCATCTCCTCAACCAGCT